CCACCACGTCCGTAGAGGGAAAACAAAGTTGTACTTACTTTACGATGGGTCTGGGTTGGTAACATAACCATAATTTGTTTTATGTTATATATGGGATCACTGAGACCCTCACCTCCATAAATTTCTTCATCTGGTCCTCGACGCGGCTTACAAATCTCCACTTAATTACAAGGCTGTAAAGAAAATCACATAACATAATACGGCAACTGTTTTCTTAAGAAGGTACTGTCTCAATAGCCAACCTTTCGTCTCTATAGCACCAACGAAAGAATAGAAAATGGGCTATCATTCTACATGTGTGCTTGTTATTAGAAACCCAAGGGAAGTAATATTGGACGCAAAAACCTTATTCAAAATAATTTCTAAGGGGAATAATAGTTGTCGTCAGGGCGACCGTTTACTCTTAGATAACCCTTAACTCAGAACATTTCTTCCGTTCAGGATAACGAAATTTCAGTCACCAACAGTAGTCCCTTTTATTGACTACACTCGCCCAGTCGATCACGCTAGTCGAATAATTGGTATTCTTGGATTTAGAAATAATCTTGCGCAAGGTCTTTGTTTACAATCAAACCAGTTTTGTTAAAGTTCACAAACGTCAGTCTTGCACGGTACATTCAAGGACCTTTTCGAATATCAGATTTATTCCAGCTTTGAAAAATACCCCGACGACACATGGACAGGTTGATAAGGTTTTTGTAAAAACCACGGCTGTTTCATTGGTGTGATTACTTACTTGATGTACTCTCTTTTGTTTGCATTGGTGACTTTGATTTCTGATCCACCTGGCTTAAGATCTTTCACAGTTACCTATAAACATTGAGACAAAGTCATTTTGGTTAACATCGAAGTCGGCATCAGTCAAAAAGGTCAACTGGAAAGTAATTTATCCGGTAGGCCTGGACATACAAAAGCACTGCCTGAGTACTGTGTTGCTATAAATAATGGCCAAGCACGAGTCACAGGTCGGTCGATCCGGAGGCAAACGCGCTTATTATCGCTCCACGATTTCCTTCTACAAGCGATCCTGGGACCGGAATTAATCGCAAATACTTAATCTTAGTAAGAACCATAACGTGAGACCCAAATAAAAGAAACAATCTTACAACACAAACAAATGTAAATGAGTAAATTTTCCCTGTTGTAGAATAGGAAGTGGTTTACGTTACAAGCTAAGTTTACCTGTCCAAACAGTTCTTCATCAACGCTGAAAGTCAAGTCCAGATCTTCTGGATCATTTTCCAGAATCCAGTTCAAACTGTTGTAGTATTCTGAGTCCTGAAAAAATGAAGACGAGAAAAATCAAACAAAACTACGCTCTAGTGACACCATCATAACGTACGAACAAGGAAGGAACACTTGAGAGACAAATGACGGTAAAGTTGAGGCGAGTGTTGCCACTTGTAAGAAACTATTAGTCACTTTAAGGTGTAACGCACGGGAAAGTGAAAGAATTTGACAGATTATGATCCCACTGGAGGAACAATTTTCAATATAATTGAATTTGGATTCGTTTAGGTGTTACTATATCACTATGGTAGTGGCGCGATGCGCGTGTAGTGGGTAGAGTTCGTTATGGCCCACTCTCTATTTTCCCACTGTTTACCGACGAAATTCAATATTTTCTGGGGACAAGGTAAATTTTATGAGTGAGAGGTTTTTATAGAACGTCATTACGACAAAATGTCTTGTAAATAACACTTACCACACTCTCCATATCAATCAGCGTGATGGGTTTACCCAACATCATTTTGTAGAATGGGCGAATAAAAAAAGCTGTAAAAAACACACATGTTTAACTATACGGTAGAAACAAGGAAAAAACACGGACATTAGAACAACAAGCAGAGATATCAAGTCTTAAGTCTCTCTTCGCGCGCTCGATTCTTTCCCAATTGAAAGACGGATTCAGCCCGAAAATCATCATTCTGATTACATACCACTACAGAGATCTTTGTAGAGGCTCTGATTGATTACAACTTACAACCTTTACATTATCATGGAATTTTTGCGTCCAATTTTCAAGACGTCTCTCTAGTGAAGAAAGAATTTAATGCGCAAAGAGGCCTGACCCTATTTTCCGAGGCTAACAAGGTAAGATTTCAAATCAGAGTGCAACGCGTTACCATCAAGTAGTTTTCCATGGTATACGGCCATTCCAGCTAGCCGACCAATAAACTTGAAGTAGGGCAGATGGTCTTCGTTACACAAGCCAGAATTTGGGTTAATCTGGAGCGTGTAGTTGTCACTAGAAAGTAAAACACAGCATACGTTATGAGAACTGTGTTGTTGTAGCCTGTAAATGACATTCTGAGATCATGTAGGGAACATATTAATTAGACTTCATATCTATTCACTTACTGAATGCGACTTTTTGCACCAAGGTGCACGAGAGGTTAACAACACTGTACGCGGTCAAGATCAGTTTAACACCGGTTCACTTAACGTCTTATTTTAGCCCGCTTAAAAACCATCTTGTTACTTTGCATTGTATGTTGTAGTCAATATATGGATGAAACATACGTCCATGAAGTTTATTCTGCGAAACACCGCTTACTACGCCGTACGGACACCCGGATAAGACAGGCACTTTTGTATGCCTGTCCCTTTGATGTCCGTATTAACCGTGCTCCACTGTATTACAGTCTGTAAATGATATAAGAAACTCAAAATAGAGTGAGTTTCTAGTAGTTGTAATCACACTGGCTAATCTTAGAATACAATCATGGTAAATCAGAACTCGATGTGAAAACATGACTTCAAACCGCGGGCCAATCGCGGGAAAACGAGCTACGATCGGTATTGATTCTCATGTAGCTCTTGATACAGTGTATGTCAGATAGGACGGTTTTCGCTCGAGTATCGAAAGCTAATTGGTTTTGAATTACTACGCCACAAAATTGGCTTAAAAAACTCGCGCCACGTTTTCATCCAATCAGAAGCAAAGCCAAAACCAATCTTGACGTACTCGCACTCGTTTTCCCGCGCTTTGCGTCAGCTACATATCTTTACTTCGAGCTTTGATTGGCTCACTGGATTGTCTGTGCCCTTTGTGACTGACCAGAGTAATTACTATGGTTTTCGCTTTACGTAGTCTGTCCACGAACCCTCTATCTTGTGATCGCAAGCATAATATTTGCCGTGGGGGTATGATGAACGAGCCAAAACATATCATTTTAATATTATTTTAAACGCCCGCTTCACGGTCGCTGTGTTCGCGCGCTCGAAGAAAATACAAACGCCCCTGGACAGACAAGGTTTTACAACACTCGACTGAAAACCGCTCAATCTGTGCAATTCATGAGATATTAGGAAAAGCTAATCCTGCAACACACACCACAATGCCAGTTCTGCTTACCTTGCCGAGTATTCAAACAGACCGTAATAAGGATTGAACACTTCCTTGGACAGCAAATAGAACCATTCTCTGTTTGATGCAAATACACAAGACAATGTCAGTCTCAAGCTCATCGGATCGAATCTTCTAATTACTGCTGGCTGAACACTAATGTTAGTTTTTACACTTATTGGTACAGTTCTACACGACTACTTGTTAGAACAAGTGCAACAGCGGAAACCACCTTCCAAGACCAGCCGGGGGACCCTTTCTTGAAAGTCCCGGTAGTAGTTTTGTTTGCCATGTTTACATTCAAGACCGAGATATTAATAGTTTTGAAATTCAAACAGTAAAAATATCAGGAAACGAAAGAGAATGGACTGGTTTTTGTGCTAAAACCCGCACTTCTATTCCTGAGATTTAGATCTTAAAATATTTCTTCGGGTCCGTAAAGTTACTGGGACTTTCGAGAAAGGAGCCCCAGAGGTCTGGAGTAATGCCCATCCATTGTCCTTGCTTAGTATCCAGTGTTCTCTCCGCTGTGAGAGAGTACCGCGCTTGACTACGGCCACAAGAACATGACAATGACATGGGCTTGACCCAAAGTCCAACGCGCTAATGCCAAGTCGCTACACTTACCTCTGAAGTCCGCCATAATCTAAGCCAGTCTCTGAATCGAAAACAATCCAAAGTCTTGTTTTAAGAAGCTCCGTGTTAGTGACAGTAACAAAAACACCTCGGTACGAATCCAACATTAAGTTATTCCTTCTCACGTGAATTTCGTATTTGTTAGGAACATTGACCTGAAAGATGATGAAATAGAAGTGAGAAAAAAAAAAGACAAAAGCAGAAATGTATCAGAAGTCAAGATCTGCTTTTATATATGCCTCCATTCTTCTAAAGTACATTGTAATATTTCTTACAAGATGCGAAATACAAATAACCATTATGTAACTATATATAAATGGTTATCAGTCTGTCTCTTTGTCACTTTATTTATTTTTTGTTGTTTCTTGCTTTGTTTGCTCTTTATCTTTCATCTTAAAATGTTCACAAGCGTGCTGAAATGTGAATCTGCCAATTTCGATTAACAAGATCAGCATAAGAAGAGGAGACCTTAAATCCTCAAAGCATAAAGGTAATGCTTTCGAGGTTATTCGAAGTTCACGTAATGACACGTACGGGCTCGTGTGCATGGTAATTATCAAAAAAATCAAAACTATCGACGTTACTGTAAGTCAATAGTGAAATCAATAAAAGCAAAGCACATGCACACCAACACGACACAACACTTACTGGTCTCTTCAGCTTCGACCTGAAGTAATCACACTTTCGCTTAAAATCTCGAGAATAAGGCACAGCCTGGAAAAAGGGAAAAAACATAAGAAATTAAAAAGAGACTAAATGCCAAAGAAAAGCCAAACCTATTTGTGCTTGCCATGCACAAGTTGCACTCTCTACCATAGAGAATTACAGGGTAATTACATTGTAAAGAAATCTCATCCAAAAATACTGAATCGGAAAAAGTCTTTCTCAACATTGTCAAAGAGCTCAAAACACTCAGTGGTACTCCAATTTCTCGAACCCTTGAGTTTTCGAGCCTCTCGAGAACTCGAACCAACGTCGTTTCCCTCTCCTCAGTCGAACACTGTAATTTTCGAAAAATCGGAATTCAACTGTACAACTAAACACCACTTTCTGATACGGATCAAGCTTTTAGCAAAATCAAATTCTAGACGTATGCTGTATACAAAACGTTTGTACGACTTCAGTTGGAGAAACTTTGGAGACATTTTGTACTGTACAGTTGTGTAATAAATTGAAAATAAAATTTTTTTGCTCATCCTCTCCATCTAGCCTGCGTCGCAGACGCAACCGACCGCGGGTCATTTACGAGTAAATTTCCGTCTGCGACACAGGCTATCTCCACCATGCTGAACGGCAATAAAAAAAAATAATACTAATCCCCTAACAGCTCAATAATGTTTGTCCACTGTTCCCACCTGGGATGGTTTGTTGTTGATCTGAACTCGAGGGTCTTCCCATTGCGTTGACTTTGTGTCTAAAAGAAAAACGATCAGAACCAATATTAGCACACGTGATGAACATGTTAACAAACACTGGAATATTTCTTTTACTTCGTCAAAAAAGTGAACGAAACACATATTACTAAACAAACCAGAAAGAAACACACCCATAAAACGACGCATAAGGAACTAGTTTTGTTTCTAAAATAAACTGACACAAACGACTTTAAGAAGTAGTACTATTTTTGAAGACCATCACATCGCACTTTGAGAATTTTATAGTGATTAGTAGTTTAACTTAATACTTACTATGATCAATGTAGAAGACTCTGCCATCTTGGTGAACTCTTTCCTCCCAGCCGTCCTGCCAGAGTAATATTCAAACGATTTTTAAAATATTCAATAAATCAATAAATCTTAAATCTAAGAGTCGTGCTTGTTTCAAAAATCTCTTAAAAGAATTGATTATCTCCAACTACTGACTGGTACATTGATGTACTTTAATTTTTCATTTTTTTGTGTTCACATTCATTTTTTTTTTCTTTTTTCGTTCTCTGTATGTGTGTGTGTGTGTATATATTCTGTAACTTTATTGCAATATTTTTTCCGCTTGGCCCAGCCACTTAGCTCGATTAGCCTTAGCTATTTCTAAGTGGCTGTGCTCTGTTTATCATTGATATTTTTTCACATTGCATGTATTTATTTTTATTGTAAAATTTTTCTGGGCACGAAATAAAGATTGTTGTTGTCGTTGTTGTTGTTGTTGTTGTCAATCGTTCTGCACGTTGTACTATTATTACGTACTGTAGGTGTGATGAACTAGTGTGTCTATGCTTCAAAAGATCACTGTGTAGCGCACAGTACCCGGACAAGCAACATGTAGCTCTTGTAGTGTTTCTTTCCGCCCAGTTAAATAGATGGGTACCAACAACAACAACAACAACAACAACACCACCACCAACAACAACAACAACAACAACGACAACAACAACGACAACAACAACAACAACAACAACAACAACGACAACAACAACAACAACAACTTTATTATGTACCAACAAGTATTGTTGGGTTAACTATTTTAAATGCTGGTAGGGTGAACTGTAAAGGCTGGTTTTCACTAGCGACGGAGTCGTAATCGGAGTCATAATCAGAAGCACAGGGTAATATGATCTAGTATAATCAAACCGACGGAGTGGGGAGCAGAACACTGAGTCGGCTTGACTCCGTCGCTTATCAACCAGTGAACGCTACATTGTCAGAGTCGGAAACCGGCAGAAGTGGAAGCGGAAAAATCAATCAATCACAATGCTCGATTCCGGGACTTGTGATTGGTTGGTTTTTCCACTTCTACTTCCGACACCGACAATCTAGTTTTCACTGTATCCCAAGGGATGGAGTCGTAAACTGAATCGGAATAAATGGAAATGTTGTGATTCTTCCAGGTCTGATTCCGTCAAGCTTATGACTCCGCTGAGGCTCACGACTCTGATTTTCGATTTTCACCAGGTCATAAGCGTTCTTTTGACTCCAACTACGACCCTGACTCTGTCGCTAGTAAAAACCAGCCTTAATGGACTAAAATTCTATCCAGCAAGAGTAAAAATACTCCTCACTACGATAACTGTTACAGTTCCTTCACACGGAAAAACTGTAACTGTTTTGTCCATAAAATAAAAGCACAGAATGAGATACAGAGCTGACGCCATCGCAAGTGGATCTTAAAACTGCAGCAAACTCTTGAGAGTTTAGCATTGTAAGTTCTCAGTTATGGCGACAAATAACATGACTTCAAATACTGACTGGATTCAACTGTGAAACGAAAAACGCCATTTTTGTTTCTTTTATTTTGCCGTGTTAAAAGTACTTGACTGAGTTGACGGAACTGGGATATAATTCTGGGGATTTCAAGAATGTTCGATTTAGGGTTGGCTAGTTATCGAAATTCTGGAAAAGGAAAATTAAATGATTAATGAAACATCAGCCAAAGTCTTACAGGCAAGGGTCCAAGGTCTCGGCTAAGTGCGGCTGATCTGGCAATTTCTGGAGACATTGAGGGTCCTCCACTTGGATGGTGATGGAGTCGAGGATCACGCTGGAATAAAACAACATATTAAACTATACAACAAGACAAGGTAAAGTTAGTAAGATATTTTAATATGTCTCTATTGAGCGTCTGACAGGTCTAGGAGACCATTTTAAGTAACATGTACGCAGATCTGGAAACAGTTACTCTCCTCTTCAGACAAAAAGCGTAAATTGTACCGACAGTCCGAAAAGGAAAACAACCTTCATAACTTGGACAATGCAGGGCTACAACGTTCTGTGACACAAGCAGACATTGAGCCAATTTATAACATGATGTGCTTATCACTGATCACTTCATAACAGGTTGATCAATTCGTTACCAAGGCAATCAGCAATAGCAGAAAAAGATGCTGTTGAGTTTGTACAAGGTCCCATATTGAGAAGAAATTGGTCAACTAACACTTTTTGTCAATGTAAGAGTGATTTTGATTTTGTTAGTGTTTTCTTAATGTTATACATGTAGCTATTACAAGTGTAAGTTCCGTACAACTAATCACTGAACTCACCCATGTGGTTTTTCTAGTGTTGTGATCAATGTAGAAAATTCTACCATTTGGAGCCCTCTGCATGGCCCAGCCAGGAGGCAGTAACTCCTCTGAGGGCAGGTGTGCCTACAAAAAACAAAGGAAACATGACTACAGAGGATGAACTAGTTCCTGAAGCACTTTTACTAATGCCTGGTTGCACATCATAACCCTTACAGCACACATTACCTGGTTTGTTTCAGTGTTTTGCGATGACTGTTCAGTATCGTCAACGCTAAGGTGCCGCCGTATTCTAAAATTCCTTTCTCGTTGAGCATCATTTTGTTGCACCTCACGCTGATGGAATGATTCACTAAGAAATAAAGTTTTGAGTGAAAATGCATCAATCTACATGTATAAGCAAGTGTACTATAAAAATAGCAAAAAAATTGTCAAAGTAAAGTGAGAGTTAGCAGTTGCATATGCAACAAAAAACTGTTTGTCCACTATTTCCAATTTGTAAAAAAGTCAGTTTTTTTTTCAGTAGTCATGTTCGGGGAAAAAACCCAGAGAACCAGGTTAGATAGAACCCTATGTGCTAAGACAACCCACATACAATGCTTGGTAGATGCTATTTGAAACTGGGCTACACTGGTTAAGATTACAATTTATGTCCAGAAATGCACACTGCCACAGTAACGAAATTGGCAGGTTTGACGAAATTTCATCAAACTGAGTGTCAAAGTGAAATCAGCTTTGCAAAATTCTAACCAAATAATGATCATTCCCCAAATTTTGTGACATCTTTCAATTTTGTCAACAAAATTTTGTAAAATCTGCCAGTTACATTACTGCATGTGTATTTCTGGACGTACATGTCTCTCTACCATTAGACTTATGGCGCTCACACTCAGGGTAAGAGTGATCACCACACTATGCCATGTCTACTCCCTAGAGCGGAGAGCAATATTGTCACTCCTGCGTATAACTCAATCAACTTCTAGCTCCACCTAAAAGCAACATACTGCAGTGTTCTCCAGAAGCGCCAATGGCCAGCATTTTCACAGGCTAAGAGCACTTGGTGTGAACAACTTGACGTACCCAACAAGAAAATTTTCGTGAAATCAGAATCCGTGGCAAGTAAAAAAGATGGAGAGAGAGAGAGAGGAAAAGAAAGCTTCTCCTTTTTGAAGGAACATACAGAAATCAGTAGGTTTATACTAGGTCTTTAGTTTACATGCAATACCTTGTGATTGCCAGCCGATCACCTGTTCGATTGCACGATGTTAAATTTGCTGTTTTGTTCAAGATAGGTGTAACTTCATCGTGGGGTGATTCCTAAGTCTGAGACAACTCTAATAGTTTTTAAGAAGGCAACATTCTCATTAAGAGAAGGTAGATTTTCATGAGGTTGCAGTTCACTGCTAGTTGCTAAAGGTCGCTAACCAGTAAACACAGCAGCCATGTTGAAAGTCGGATTGAGTCTCTTTGCATCTGTTTCTGCAAAAACTGACCAAAAATGACTCAACTTTTCTTGTCTCAGTTGCCCCCAAAATACATCAGATCGCATCTTCAGTTATATAATTTTTGAAAAATTTCTGGGGTGCATGCCCCTGTATCCCCCTAGAAGCTAGCATCCTTCAGATGCTCAATTTGCAAGCACTGGCTACTTTAAATTTTTAGCTGACTACTCTAAAATCTGTGGAGAACACTGCATCACAAATCCTTTTCATTCATCAGTAAAAAAAACTTACCTTCTACCAGTTGGCCGAACCCATGAAGTTGTTCTGGTTGCGTGGTCAATAAAAAATGTTCTACCGATAGCATCCTGCAAGTTCAGACTCAAAATTAGCAAAATTACTTCACTTATAAACTAAAAAGTTCAGTTATAAAGTCATGTAATTGACAGGAGGAGGAGGAAGAGGAGAAATTGTACATAGTGCTGTTACAAGTAGACATTGTAAAAAAGTGTTCACATGTCAATATTTACTCATGCTTGATCTCCAAAAACGAGTAACATGTAACCAACCTGTCGTTCTTCCCAGCCTTGGGGAAGAGGTTCCTGTGGTCTTGAAGGAGGAGAACTTGGTTCCTCCACATCTGGGAGTGTCTAAAGCAGAGAAAAACATAACACATTGCCTAGTATTTTTGTCACAATGTATGTACATGTACAATGAAAGGAACAGGACTCTAAAGTTTGAAAAAAATTTCTTGTAATTATAATACAATTTAGTGCCTGGGCACAATTTTCTTTTGATACATAGGCAGGGAGCTCATTGGAGAGGAGGCACCTCTTAGGGACAGGGTGCTTATTTCTTTTAGACATATACATTTGAATGCGGTGCAAAATGGTAATGAAAAACAACAGATACGTTAAATCAGACACTGATAATACACCAGGAGCTCTGACAGTCAATATGTTTGACATTCAGTTCTGATGAAGAGAGTACTTCATTCATCCAGTCAGCCTATTCCACGTCAATGTTTTGAATGTCAATCAAGTTAATGTTATGGGGCGTACTTACTGGAAGGGGGTGCTTACTGGAATAGGTGTGCTTATTACAGAAATAGCACTCCAGGGGAAGCCCTCATCAAAAAGCAGGTGCTTGCAGAACAGGCGTAATTTTTCTGCGTATATTTAGGTGAATAAAGGCGAAAGCAAAGTGAGCACGAAGCGCGAGTCGTACACGAGGAGAAGAGCGCAAAAAAAATAATAAATAATAACGCCTGTACGCATACCATTGTTCAAGCTGTTCTGCCCCCAGAGACACCCTAAATGATCAGTCAACCACAGCGTAAAACAGTGGTAATCATGGTGCGTTGTGGGCCAGACTTCCAAGGTCTTGTTTTAATCCCTAAAACAGAGAAATTTTTTTCTTTGGGTCAAGGTCATTCCCCAGTATTGCATTGTGCATCCCTACTGCGCATAATTTCAAGGTCATTCCCCAGTATTGCATTGCGCATCCCTACTGCGCATAATTTCACGCGTGATTAGGGCACGCGCATTAGAAAATGGTGGCTTTTTCTTTGCGGCTGGATCTCGCCATGGAGGTAAATCCTCATTTTCTTGAAAACGAGTATGGTGACCTATCATTTTTTTCTGTTGTGTTGAATTGAGTAATAAATTTCTCTATGTAAAATCAATATGGGCCAATTCTTGTTGAGCAAGAAACAATCGTTGGAAACGTGATTTTAGCAAGCAATTGTGACTATAATCATGGTGCTATTGTAAGAATTTATATGGTATAAACAAGGTGCTGTTGCTCCTAAACTAACATGGGGACCCCTCATTTTTATTTCCAAATTTAAGTTCCTACAATATAAACAGTCAGTAGGCAAAGTTTGACAAAAACCTCAGTGCAGGTTCTATTTCAGTGGAATGACCTTAAAATGGAAAGGCAAAACACAAATCAATGTTTCGGTGGCCTCAGAATGGAATATTAGGGTGTATAGAGTTCTCAAAGCATTCTGGTGAAGAATTTTTCCTTCCTTCAACTGCAGCGAAAACATGACGATCGGTGCGCTTTCTAGTGAGTTTTGAGATAACAGATCGCGAAATTAACCCTTTGACTAGCAAATTTTCACAAAAAAAATGCCGTTTTCAACTGTTAAATCAGTTTTTTTGGCTGCCACGATGCTAAATGGACCTTAGTTTTGTGCAGAAAGCTATTTTTTACCAGAAAGATAGATTTCCCCACAATTAGGTACCAAAATGTACAATATTTTAATTTGGCACAGGCGTATATGCACCTTCCGAATTTTTTTCTTGCCCCTATGCTTTCCTTTTTCCGGGCCCTTTTACTCTTGCTACCTTTTGCGTTTCATGTTCTTTCTGACTGCCATTAAAAAGCTGGGCGTTAATTACGGGCAAAGCCTGGAAATAGGATCTTGTTCAATTACAGGTATAATGGGCCATTTTACCACCATTCTTGCATCAAAACAGATGACGTTGTTTTTCAATTTGCTATGTCAGAATGCCGTCGATATCAAAAACAGTCTGTTGTGCGCATAGATCTATTATAGCTCTACTCTCTACTTATCAAGAATATCTGGTGATATTTAAATTGATGACATCACAAGTGGTAAAAAGAGCACGACTACTCAGGGCGTGTCTATGTACTGTTGACAGTCAAAGGGTTAAAGCAGCTTCCTGGACTTTAGAAAACAAAAATGGTAATGTACAGTATTACTTCGAAGTTGAATTCAACTTTTGAAATGATTGGTAAGGCCACGGCCGATAAAATGACTGTAATAGTCGTCAGTAAAAACTCAAAATTCCGCTTTAGTGTGCAGAATTAATTTGAACATGCGGCCATGCAGTGAAGCATGTATCCAAAATTTTGAACATTTTTTTCGCTTTTAGATAAGTTTTTTTTGCCTCATCTTGAATGAGAATGTATTGTTATTGAACTTCCTGTCACACTTCTTTCCTTTGGTTGTCTTTATTTGGGAATTTTAGGTTTTAAAAGTGAACAGTATTTTTGCACGCCAGATTTCTGCACGATTAATTTACAGCAACCTCCGCAATTTGTTTGTTTAGTTTATTTGCTTTGTTCAAATATATTTTTTTTAAGTCTTATTCAGCTTCTACAGAACTCCTGAGAAAAGAACTAAGTGGGCACTAATTTAACACAGTTGTAATATGATTTATCTCAAAATAATTGGCTTGTTTTTGTCGTCGTTTTGATTTACAATTGTCGTTTTTTATTCACTGCACCATATTATTTCGTTAAGTGGCAAAGAAATTATCTGATTTCTTTTTTTAATTGGTTTTTACTTGTGTCTTTCGCTTTTATTTTCCGATGTTTTCTCAAATGTTATTTGTTAAAAAGAACGAAAATTCTGTTTTATTCGGCTTCATTTTGTCCTTAAGAGTCGACTCATTTATATAATGAATTTTCTCGGCTTTTGTTGCACGGCAAAGAAAAAAGTAAATTTTTTTGTTTTCTTCAATATGAACTTCACACATCAAGTTGAGTTCTTTTTGTTGATATTTCTTAATATTTTGGCTCTTCATTTATTCAACTTTAAATAAACGACATCTTGAAACCTGATCTTGTGTCTGTGGTTACTGTGCATGTGGTTTATTTTTGTGCTTCCTTTTGCTCTGAAATATTCCAAAAAACTACGGGGAGTTAGGGGTGGGTCGCAAGCAATTTCATGGGACATGCAGGTGTCAGTGGGTTAAAGGGGAGGGAGGAAGGAGACACGTTCGAAAATAAACAAACCGCTTCTCAAATAGCTTCATACACAGAACAAGATGAATAGATGATGCGACCACCATGTTGTACTTGAAAAACATTCGAGGATCACGTGATGTAAAGTAACCAACTGGATAGCTGCATTCATATTTGAATGCTGAAACAGCTTGAACAATGGTACGCGTACAGGCATTATTTTTTTCACACTCTTCCTCTCATGTGCGACTCGGACTTTGCACTTGCCTCGCTTTCGCCTCTGATTTCCTAAAATATGCAAAAAAAATACGCCTTTTCTGTAGGCTAGTGCTTATTGGAAGGAAAGTGCTACATTCAAAACACAAAATAGTAAAACCAACCTGAATTAGCTCAGACAAGGAGGGAAGTGATGGGTGATCACTTAATGGTGGAGCACTAGGAACTGGAAGCTCAGCGTTGGCAGCGTCAGGCACTGAGTTGATTACATTTGATGAAGGAACTGGGTAATGGTTTTCAACCAGTCTCAGGTTAGTATCTGTAGTAGCATCTGTGGCTGTTTCCGTAAACAAATGATGTTAAGTCTAATATAATATCTTCTTGAGTATGCCCTGAGCAAGATTTCATATTGAGTGAGAAAAAAACTTTAAGCATGTGAACCTTTGCGTGGTCCAACTGGACTGGGCTGGGCTGGGCTGGCAGTTTGCTGCTTAAGCCCCAGCCAAACGATCGCAACATGTCAACGCAACATATCGCAACATTGTTGGGCGCAACATGTTGCGTGCGTTTGGCCACCATGTTGCCATGTGTTGTGACATGTTGGGTGTTGTTGGCTCAAATTTGACCATTTTCAAACTGTTGAAGCCATAATTTAAAATAAAAGTTACTGTGTGGCATGAAATTTTTGCAGGACTTTTATTTAGTGGATTGGCAATTTTTTGAGGTTTATGGGAACAAATTTTTGTGGCTCGAATTGGCTGAAATTTCCGCTAATTTTTGCGGTTTCCTTTCAAGCAGCGAGACATCAGCAAAGAAGGAAATGTAATATTTTCAACTTTTATTACTTTTTATGTGAAACAACAGTCTATACTTCTCAGACATTTCAGTCAACGACAAGTTTCACGTGACTTTTGACTGCTTAGAGTTTGTTTTTTGTGCCTCAGAGATGGGAAAAGTATTGACTTAACCTTTTATCATTTCATTTTGTTTGTAGCAAGCTCCGATTGCTTTTTCTCAATGCAAATATCAAAATAAACGTTCTTTTACCCCAATGTATGATACATAGTAACACAAGTGGTTTAAAAGGCACTTTTGATTACATTAACAGGAGTAAATTTTTGTGGTTTTTAATTTTGCTGGTGTTTTTCCTGCTGGAACTCACTTTTTGCAGATCAAGTACCGGTACCATTCGCAAAATGCGCAAAAATTAAAACCTGCAAAATAAAAGTGCTACATAGTATGTGATTTATTACTACGATTATCAGTTGAGTGAGGCAGGAAAAAAGTTTGATCACCAGGTTTCAACGTGAAAATCATGTTGTCACGGGGAACTGGCTCCGTTTCCAGCGGCAACTTGCGGGCCTTTGACGTCATTGGCAGCAAAGCGCACGAATTTGTAGGCAATTCACGTCTGTTGATATTGTTACCAATGGAAACGAGGTAAGTTGCCCGTGACAACACCCCAATTTTAAGGCCAAAAGTTCATCACTAAACTTCCGTCGCGCCTTACTCAACTGATAATCGTAGTATATACGAAATGGGACAGTATGGAAATTTGAAATGAATTGCAGAAGAAAAGCACTTTGTAAGTGTGAAACCCTCACATACCATTTTTGGCAATGTTTTGGTTAAAAGCCGTCAAAATTGTTGAGGGATCAAATTATTACCCACCTTTGCTATACATTTTGGATACAAGGTACATGTATCTTATAGTCTTTAATTTTGGAGCACTTGTTTGACTCCAAACATGAAAGACCAGTTCTTCCCTTTGGCAGCCATTTTGTTGATAATGGTCAGGCAAATGTCACCCTCTAAAAGAGAGCAGTGGTAAGTGGATTTACCACAAAAATTTAATGTTTATGACCCATCGACTGACTGACTGACAGAGGGAGTGAATATTCCCTTACTAACTGCTATAACTTGCTCATACAGCTACGCATTCACAAGTTAAAAGCATAATTACCACCAATAACGTTTAAAGAAGACAACTTTGAAGTTGCAAGGGAGTTCACATTATAAACGTTACACTTGTAAGGACCCCAGTAAGGCTTAAGCAAAGACACCTTGATCTTGAATACTCAACACCAACCAATACAATTATCACCTTCCACATGACATGACTTTAAAGCTAAAAATAATGTTATTGAGCCTAGATTAATTAAAATAAAAATTAACATAGGTACTGTAAAGGAATGTCTGCTTACCAGGAGTTTCTGATTGTGGCACGAGACTGTCCCCTGATGCAAGAAATGACAACTGCAACTTTAGATAGCCTTTTACTCTTGATTTACTACTGCAGATGTTGAAGGAACATTGGATAAAAAGCTTCAATTAATGCACATAATTTAATTAGACCATTAATTAAAGTGTGATGCACTCCACATCAACTAAATGATGACACAACATGCACAAAAAAGTGTCTTACCCTCATCAACCCAGAATACACACAAAAAGATTAAACTCCATCATGGCATGATGAAATAAAAGTTGATAAATAAAGACTATAATTATGTACATGTAACTAACTTTAGTTACCTTCTTGGTCTCACACTGTAATCTCTTGGTCTGATTTGAACAGAAGGACCTTCAGTCTAAAAGACAGATATTAGTTTATAAGTACATTGTAATTTGATAACTTTGTATCTTTAACAAGGATGTTACATGTAGTTAATTACTGCTGCTGCACATAATAATTAATACATAAACGTGTAATCCACCTCTAAGGTAAAAAAGCCCTAACAAGCACCATAATCTTCGGTGGGCATGACTCAGATTCATTTTCACCTCCAAGAGGTGCCAATTCTAAAGAAATAAATTAACCAACACTGACAATAATTATTACAATATTATTTTTTGGCTCAACACCCCCACAAGGAGCCACAGCAATAGCCCTTATAGTGCTCACTTTAGATTTTGGCACCTTAAAGGGTACCAGTCAGCAAATGTTAGACAGTGTGCCTGTGCAGAGATGAACAGTGACTCTGTGACTCTTATGTAAAGCACTGCTGCTACAACCACCTGGCAGAGGACGGTGATGAAGGAATTGAAAGAGATGGGTCTCTTATGGGTTGAAGCACAAGCCAAAGCAGAGGACAGGGTTCAGTGGTGGGGCATGATTGTGGCCTTATGTCCCAGCTGGGATGAAGAGGATAAGTAAGTAAGTAATGCTGCTACAGGTGTGAGTCAGTGATCAACAAGTTGCAAGTGTACATATAAATTATAGTAACTGTGTTATTTGAAAATCTCTCACTAATATTTTTCTACATGACTACATGTAAGTTTAATAATTATTTTATTTTATTTTACTACAGTATGTTAAACAATACTTACTGGTAAACCAAGCAAAGGTAATTCCACTTCACCAAGAAAGTCATCTCTTGTCTAATGGAGAAAAAAAAACACACGTATATACATATAAATATATAATTACCTACATGCATCCTTGTTCAAACTCATGACCTTTTGATTCTGAGCCTTCAGTGGTGTAGCTAAATGTTAGAGGGTTTGAATCCCTAAAGGTGCTCTACATGTACATCTACATTTGTACATACAGTACGTAAAAATTGAATGATATACAATGGTGTATAACTACAAAGATCTCACTCACTTTCACTATTTTCATCACCACATTTTTGTTCAAATGATTATTTTATGTTCATCACAATGATTGGAATACGATATGAGACATTACCTACAGATACAATTCCATTGCAATAATTGATAATATCAATAACCATTGCTACTCCCTTAGTTTAAATTTTCTCTTTGCACCTGAGTGCCAACTGACAAGACTAAAGAAGGACAATAATTACAGTGTATGTACATGTAACTCTGTGGCCAAAGTGACCCACACCAGTTTGACAGAATAAAGTGAATTGGAGTATTTGTCTAACTACTCCTCCTGAACGGAAATATTTTTTTTAGTGACAGGTCCCTCCTCCCCTGCCCCAAAGCAATTTGTCTGGTTTCTATAACAGTTTATCAATATCTACCCATACCAGGGCAAGGAGAGAGAGTTAGTGGGAAAGTATTGTGCTCATTGTGCTTGGTCCTTGAACTGCCAAGACCTACAGTGCTGCTCAGGGATAAGCAAACCAATCTTCATGCTAACAGACTGTTGAAAATGCAAGTGCCATCAAACACATACACCCAATTGCTGTACCTGCATTAGACTGCATTTTGATTGGTTATTACTCACTGCTTTTGTCCATACATTGTAAAAGAAATCATTAAGAATGAATGTCAAGTGTTATGCATTTAACAATGTGAAAAGTGTCTCATGAAAGAGAGAGAGAGAAAGAAAGTTGGTAATAAAATAACAAAGGCTTAACCCATTGACTTCCATGCCGCCCATAACCGGTTGTGACGAGTGTTGGCCTTTGTTCCACTTCTAACGTCATCACCTTTAACCAAAATTGGCATCATCTATACTCAAGATCTGCAGGAGGGAAAGATCTTTCCAATGATGCCCAGATCAGAATGATCAGCTCAATGGAGCCTGAAATATGCATGAAAAAGCTCAGAAATTTGAGTGAAAAACTTGCAGCAAAATTTCCTGCGACTACACTAACAGTAGCTACTTGAAATTTTGATTTCTGCCTGAGCAAAACCTCTATGTAGCTGTTATGTTGCAAATGCCTTTTTGAGTAGATTGGAGCTACATGTAATTTGGCCCATACCCAGGCTGAAAGGCTCCAAAAAGTCCAAAAAATGTGTTTTTGGCGAAAAGCTCTGGCAGTCAATGGTTTAATCACATGACCAAATTTTTCAAAAGATGGGTCCTTTTGTGATAAATTTGGGAAATCTATCCAAAGCAAGCTAAAAAACACCAGTGGATTTACTTTTCTTTTTTGTTAACCCAAGGACTCCCATGCCACCTGTAATCAGCTGTGACGAGCATACAGTAGGCCTTTGTTCCACTTCTAACATCATCACCGTTGACCAAAATTGGCATCATCTATACTCAAGATCTGCAGGAGGGAAAGATCTTTCCAATGATACCCAAATCAGAGTTATCAGCTTAAATGAGCCTGAAATGTGCACAAAAATGCTCAGAAATTTGAGAGAAAAACTCACAGCAAAATTTCCTGTGACTACCATGGTAAAATTGCCTGCCTCGATGATACTTCCTCAGAAATTTTTGAACTAGCAGCAAGCCCAGTAGAAGGTCAATCACTGGAGCAAAAAGATAAGAAAAGGAGAAAAAGGAAAGGCAAAAAACTTTACAAAAAAAGCCTAAAGATGTACATGTACATGTAGGTCACTTTCTCGTCCAGAAAACTCTCAAAATTTTAGATTTCTCTGCATGCCTGAGCAAACATGTTGTAAATTGCAATGCTAGTGGAAGGAAAGGCATGCTGCCATGCTGCAAATGCCTTTTTGAGCAGATTGGAGCTAATTTGGCCCATATCCAGGCTGAAAATCTCCAAAATGTCCAAAAAATGCATTTTTGGCAAAAAGCTCTGGAAGTCAATGGGTTAAAGTGATGAAGATAACATGTGTACCCACATGCCTTCTAACATGTTACAGAAAACGTGCAGGCAAACTTCCTTCATGTTAAGCGTGCGTTAAAAACAAGTGCGTGATGTTTGCTTTACTCTGAGTGGTACTGTAGGGCTGATATTCTCTCAGTATCGCCAAGCAGTTGCAATTGGTTAATGAGAGCATGTCATTGACAAGTGATGTAACACAACTTACGATTCTATTTTCATCAAATACTTCAAACAAGAGTCTGTTGTCTCTAGGGTTCACCTGAGAAGACAAAGGAAAAAGATTCACTTAAAGGAAAAACTGTACACATCCTGTACTTATTTAGTTTACAATGTACATAGAAAGACTGTAGTCATCTACATGTAAATCAAATAAAGCACTGGATGTGCCTCATACTATTCTAAAATTATAACATAACTAAAGCAAAGCGCGCGCTCTGATTGGTTAATCTAGCGTCTACTATTTACCCATAGGTGTACGCTGCTGACATGTGTGNCGACCACCATGTTGTACTTGAAAAACATTCGAGGATCACGTGATGTAAAGTAACCAACTGGATAGCTGCATTCATATTTGAATGCTGAAACAGCTTGAACAATGGTACGCGTACAGGCATTATTTTTTTCACACTCTTCCTCTCATGTGCGACTCGGACTTTGCACTTGCCTCGCTTTCGCCTCTGATTTCCTAAAATATGCAAAAAAAATACGCCTTTTCTGTAGGCTAGTGCTTATTGGAAGGAAAGTGCTACATTCAAAACACAAAATAGTAAAACCAACCTGAATTAGCTCAGACAAGGAGGGAAGTGATGGGTGATCACTTAATGGTGGAGCACTAGGAACTGGAAGCTCAGCGTTGGCAGCGTCAGGCACTGAGTTGATTACATTTGATGAAGGAACTGGGTAATGGTTTTCAACCAGTCTCAGGTTAGTATCTGTAGTAGCATCTGTGGCTGTTTCCGTAAACAAATGATGTTAAGTCTAATATAATATCTTCTTGAGTATGCCCTGAGCAAGATTTCATATTGAGTGAGAAAAAAACTTTAAGCATGTGAACCTTTGCGTGGTCCAACTGGACTGGGCTGGGCTGGGCTGGCAGTTTGCTGCTTAAGCCCCAGCCAAACGATCGCAACATGTCAACGCAACATATCGCAACATTGTTGGGCGCAACATGTTGCGTGCGTTTGGCCACCATGTTGCCATGTGTTGTGACATGTTGGGTGTTGTTGGCTCAAATTTGACCATTTTCAAACTGTTGAAGCCATAATTTAAAATAAAAGTTACTGTGTGGCATGAAATTTTTGCAGGACTTTTATTTAGTGGATTGGCAATTTTTTGAGGTTTATGGGAACAAATTTTTGTGGCTCGAATTGGCTGAAATTTCCGCTAATTTTTGCGGTTTCCTTTCAAGCAGCGAGACATCAGCAAAGAAGGAAATGTAATATTTTCAACTTTTATTACTTTTTATGTGAAACAACAGTCTATACTTCTCAGACATTTCAGTCAACGACAAGTTTCACGTGACTTTTGACTGCTTAGAGTTTGTTTTTTGTGCCTCAGAGATGGGAAAAGTATTGACTTAACCTTTTATCATTTCATTTTGTTTGTAGCAAGCTCCGATTGCTTTTTCTCAATGCAAATATCAAAATAAACGTTCTTTTACCCCAATGTATGATACATAGTAACACAAGTGGTTTAAAAGGCACTTTTGATTACATTAACAGGAGTAAATTTTTGTGGTTTTTAATTTTGCTGGTGTTTTTCCTGCTGGAACTCACTTTTTGCAGATCAAGTACCGGTACCATTCGCAAAATGCGCAAAAATTAAAACCTGCAAAATAAAAGTGCTACATAGTATGTGATTTATTACTACGATTATCAGTTGAGTGAGGCAGGAAAAAAGTTTGATCACCAGGTTTCAACGTGAAAATCATGTTGTCACGGGGAACTGGCTCCGTTTCCAGCGGCAACTTGCGGGCCTTTGACGTCATTGGCAGCAAAGCGCACGAATTTGTAGGCAATTCACGTCTGTTGATATTGTTACCAATGGAAACGAGGTAAGTTGCCCGTGACAACACCCCAATTTTAAGGCCAAAAGTTCATCACTAAACTTCCGTCGCGCCTTACTCAACTGATAATCGTAGTATATACGAAATGGGACAGTATGGAAATTTGAAATGAATTGCAGAAGAAAAGCACTTTGTAAGTGTGAAACCCTCACATACCATTTTTGGCAATGTTTTGGTTAAAAGCCGTCAAAATTGTTGAGGGATCAAATTATTACCCACCTTTGCTATACATTTTGGATACAAGGTACATGTATCTTATAGTCTTTAATTTTGGAGCACTTGTTTGACTCCAAACATGAAAGACCAGTTCTTCCCTTTGGCAGCCATTTTGTTGATAATGGTCAGGCAAATGTCACCCTCTAAAAGAGAGCAGTGGTAAGTGGATTTACCACAAAAATTTAATGTTTATGACCCATCGACTGACTGACTGACAGAGGGAGTGAATATTCCCTTACTAACTGCTATAACTTGCTCATACAGCTACGCATTCACAAGTTAAAAGCATAATTACCACCAATAACGTTTAAAGAAGACAACTTTGAAGTTGCAAGGGAGTTCACATTATAAACGTTACACTTGTAAGGACCCCAGTAAGGCTTAAGCAAAGACACCTTGATCTTGAATACTCAACACCAACCAATACAATTATCACCTTCCACATGACATGACTTTAAAGCTAAAAATAATGTTATTGAGCCTAGATTAATTAAAATAAAAATTAACATAGGTACTGTAAAGGAATGTCTGCTTACCAGGAGTTTCTGATTGTGGCACGAGACTGTCCCCTGATGCAAGAAATGACAACTGCAACTTTAGATAGCCTTTTACTCTTGATTTACTACTGCAGATGTTGAAGGAACATTGGATAAAAAGCTTCAATTAATGCACATAATTTAATTAGACCATTAATTAAAGTGTGATGCACTCCACATCAACTAAATGATGACACAACATGCACAAAAAAGTGTCTTACCCTCATCAACCCAGAATACACACAAAAAGATTAAACTCCATCATGGCATGATGAAATAAAAGTTGATAAATAAAGACTATAATTATGTACATGTAACTAACTTTAGTTACCTTCTTGGTCTCACACTGTAATCTCTTGGTCTGATTTGAACAGAAGGACCTTCAGTCTAAAAGACAGATATTAGTTTATAAGTACATTGTAATTTGATAACTTTGTATCTTTAACAAGGATGTTACATGTAGTTAATTACTGCTGCTGCACATAATAATTAATACATAAACGTGTAATCCACCTCTAAGGTAAAAAAGCCCTAACAAGCACCATAATCTTCGGTGGGCATGACTCAGATTCATTTTCACCTCCAAGAGGTGCCAATTCTAAAGAAATAAATTAACCAACACTGACAATAATTATTACAATATTATTTTTTGGCTCAACACCCCCACAAGGAGCCACAGCAATAGCCCTTATAGTGCTCACTTTAGATTTTGGCACCTTAAAGGGTACCAGTCAGCAAATGTTAGACAGTGTGCCTGTGCAGAGATGAACAGTGACTCTGTGACTCTTATGTAAAGCACTGCTGCTACAACCACCTGGCAGAGGACGGTGATGAAGGAATTGAAAGAGATGGGTCTCTTATGGGTTGAAGCACAAGCCAAAGCAGAGGACAGGGTTCAGTGGTGGGGCATGATTGTGGCCTTATGTCCCAGCTGGGATGAAGAGGATAAGTAAGTAAGTAATGCTGCTACAGGTGTGAGTCAGTGATCAACAAGTTGCAAGTGTACATATAAATTATAGTAACTGTGTTATTTGAAAATCTCTCACTAATATTTTTCTACATGACTACATGTAAGTTTAATAATTATTTTATTTTATTTTACTACAGTATGTTAAACAATACTTACTGGTAAACCAAGCAAAGGTAATTCCACTTCACCAAGAAAGTCATCTCTTGTCTAATGGAGAAAAAAAAACACACGTATATACATATAAATATATAATTACCTACATGCATCCTTGTTCAAACTCATGACCTTTTGATTCTGAGCCTTCAGTGGTGTAGCTAAATGTTAGAGGGTTTGAATCCCTAAAGGTGCTCTACATGTACATCTACATTTGTACATACAGTACGTAAAAATTGAATGATATACAATGGTGTATAACTACAAAGATCTCACTCACTTTCACTATTTTCATCACCACATTTTTGTTCAAATGATTATTTTATGTTCATCACAATGATTGGAATACGATATGAGACATTACCTACAGATACAATTCCATTGCAATAATTGATAATATCAATAACCATTGCTACTCCCTTAGTTTAAATTTTCTCTTTGCACCTGAGTGCCAACTGACAAGACTAAAGAAGGACAATAATTACAGTGTATGTACATGTAACTCTGTGGCCAAAGTGACCCACACCAGTTTGACAGAATAAAGTGAATTGGAGTATTTGTCTAACTACTCCTCCTGAACGGAAATATTTTTTTTAGTGACAGGTCCCTCCTCCCCTGCCCCAAAGCAATTTGTCTGGTTTCTATAACAGTTTATCAATATCTACCCATACCAGGGCAAGGAGAGAGAGTTAGTGGGAAAGTATTGTGCTCATTGTGCTTGGTCCTTGAACTGCCAAGACCTACAGTGCTGCTCAGGGATAAGCAAACCAATCTTCATGCTAACAGACTGTTGAAAATGCAAGTGCCATCAAACACATACACCCAATTGCTGTACCTGCATTAGACTGCATTTTGATTGGTTATTACTCACTGCTTTTGTCCATACATTGTAAAAGAAATCATTAAGAATGAATGTCAAGTGTTATGCATTTAACAATGTGAAAAGTGTCTCATGAAAGAGAGAGAGAGAAAGAAAGAAAGTTGGTAATAAAATAACAAAGGCTTAACCCATTGACTTCCATGCCGCCCATAACCGGTTGTGACGAGTGTTGGCCTTTGTTCCACTTCTAACGTCATCACCTTTAACCAAAATTGGCATCATCTATACTCAAGATCTGCAGGAGGGAAAGATCTTTCCAATGATGCCCAGATCAGAATGATCAGCTCAATGGAGCCTGAAATATGCATGAAAAAGCTCAGAAATTTGAGTGAAAAACTTGCAGCAAAATTTCCTGCGACTACACTAACAGTAGCTACTTGAAATTTTGATTTCTGCCTGAGCAAAACCTCTATGTAGCTGTTATGTTGCAAATGCCTTTTTGAGTAGATTGGAGCTACATGTAATTTGGCCCATACCCAGGCTGAAAGGCTCCAAAAAGTCCAAAAAATGTGTTTTTGGCGAAAAGCTCTGGCAGTCAATGGTTTAATCACATGACCAAATTTTTCAAAAGATGGGTCCTTTTGTGATAAATTTGGGAAATCTATCCAAAGCAAGCTAAAAAACACCAGTGGATTTACTTTTCTTTTTTGTTAACCCAAGGACTCCCATGCCACCTGTAATCAGCTGTGACGAGCATACAGTAGGCCTTTGTTCCACTTCTAACATCATCACCGTTGACCAAAATTGGCATCATCTATACTCAAGATCTGCAGGAGGGAAAGATCTTTCCAATGATACCCAAATCAGAGTTATCAGCTTAAATGAGCCTGAAATGTGCACAAAAATGCTCAGAAATTTGAGAGAAAAACTCACAGCAAAATTTCCTGTGACTACCATGGTAAAATTGCCTGCCTCGATGATACTTCCTCAGAAATTTTTGAACTAGCAGCAAGCCCAGTAGAAGGTCAATCACTGGAGCAAAAAGATAAGAAAAGGAGAAAAAGGAAAGGCAAAAAACTTTACAAAAAAAGCCTAAAGATGTACATGTACATGTAGGTCACTTTCTCGTCCAGAAAACTCTCAAAATTTTAGATTTCTCTGCATGCCTGAGCAAACATGTTGTAAATTGCAATGCTAGTGGAAGGAAAGGCATGCTGCCATGCTGCAAATGCCTTTTTGAGCAGATTGGAGCTAATTTGGCCCATATCCAGGCTGAAAATCTCCAAAATGTCCAAAAAATGCATTTTTGGCAAAAAGCTCTGGAAGTCAATGGGTTAAAGTGATGAAGATAACATGTGTACCCACATGCCTTCTAACATGTTACAGAAAACGTGCAGGCAAACTTCCTTCATGTTAAGCGTGCGTTAAAAACAAGTGCGTGATGTTTGCTTTACTCTGAGTGGTACTGTAGGGCTGATATTCTCTCAGTATCGCCAAGCAGTTGCAATTGGTTAATGAGAGCATGTCATTGACAAGTGATGTAACACAACTTACGATTCTATTTTCATCAAATACTTCAAACAAGAGTCTGTTGTCTCTAGGGTTCACCTGAGAAGACAAAGGAAAAAGATTCACTTAAAGGAAAAACTGTACACATCCTGTACTTATTTAGTTTACAATGTACATAGAAAGACTGTAGTCATCTACATGTAAATCAAATAAAGCACTGGATGTGCCTCATACTATTCTAAAATTATAACATAACTAAAGCAAAGCGCGCGCTCTGATTGGTTAATCTAGCGTCTACTATTTACCCATAGGTGTACGCTGCTGACATGTGTG